CTGCACCCAGGCTTGCTCCCTTCCTGCCTCTGCATGTTACCTACCTCCATCCTGCCACTGACCACATCACATTCCCCAGCAAGGCCACGCACAGCATCAGCCTTTCAAGATCTTCCCTTGCCCGTATGGCTCAGGACTCGCATCACCCTCATGCCCATCCCTGCAAAGGCTCCCACCTAACCACGGTTTCCTTCTCCCACTTTTGGCTTTGCACTTTCATACCTGAAACCTCTCAGGGTACCTCTGACATTCCTATTCCTCCCTACAATTCACTGCTGAAAACCAATCTCTGACTCTTCCTTTGTTATATAAAATCCAAGTCGTGGTCATTTGCAGTATAAAAAAATGTGAGACACTTGTCCTGCCTCTCTGCAAGATGCTGGGACCCACACCTTCATCCAGCAGATAGGATCTACAATTACTCCTGGAGCTAAATTCAGGCTTTGGCTTGGTCAGGTGGACTCACGTGGGTGGAGCTCTGAGCCCCTGTAGTTCTCAGCAGGGATTTGGGCTGTCTCTATCTTTGCCATACAGGCCATGCCTACCTAGGCTGCATGTGATTATGTTCCCCCAATGTATGAACGTGCAGATTTCCCAGTTGAATCTTAGTCTCCTTTTCTGCCCATCTTGCTCATCACAAGAGCCCATTTGTATTAATTTTGTCCTCTGTGGCATTCACAACTCCTGTAAAATAAGTGTCATGTACAAATGTTATTGACGCACTCTAGTCCCTCGCCTAGCTCATTAGGGGCCTGCTCCAAACCCCAATGAACTATCCCCCCACCCCCAACCAGCTATTTAATTCCATGCCAGTCCACATGACATAACGAGGGTGTTTGATACTCCCTGTGCCCGGGTGGTACTTGCACAGGTCCATGTATGTGCAAGTATCAGAGACAGAGAATTAAAGCCCCATCTACAATTCCATACATCTTATCTCAGAAGAGCATAAAATTTTGAATTTGAGCAAAATAATACTCATCACAAATAGATGAAAGTTTAATGAATTTTATATAATAAACATAAAAGATTGCATCTTAAAAAAGATCTGTAGCTATGTACAGCCGTATTGCACAAGTAAAGTGGCAATTACCCTGTCAAAAATTCATCAGTGCAAACCACAAGTAAGCCAGGGAAACTGCAATAAAAATGCTACATATGCTGGGTCCTATGAAACAAGTTAGTGATTAATCAGTACATGATCAGTGCTCTGTTTGTACCTGATAAGGAGCTTTGCTACAGTAATGAGTGGTCTTGAAACCAGGATGCAAAAGTTTACTCTAAAAATCAAAGTAGAAAGTAGTTCTATAAATAACTTGCAGGGGCTTCTTGTTTAAGAGGTAACAGCCATGTCCTGCACTATGTAAACTGAGGATAAGGTGTTTCATATCCCAAAATAGGGTTATTATTGAGTTACCAGGAAGCACTATCAAGTTATCGAACTGAAATCTACAGCATAATTTTTAATTCTGGCAACTGGCTGAAGCAATGAAGTGAGGCAGCCAGATTCAGTAGGAGCACAGGGAGGGTGAAATCTGAAGGCAGTGGAGAATGAGAAGGTGGGGGATTGGCACATTGTCTAGATCTTGAAAAAGTGATTAACTGAGACTACTGCACTTCAGTTTAATAATATGTTTGAATAAACTGCCCTTGGCCCCTTGGGATGATAATGTTTTGCTTAGACCGATAAAGTTATTTGTAACAAATTAATGCTTTGAGCTACAAAAAGATTCTGGATGTGGCTTTGGCGTTTGGCTGAGTCTGCATCTCCATATCATATTTTACTTCAAATCTCTGCCTCTATATACAGTGCTGAATCATTGAGTCCAGAAAGTTAAAAGTGGCCGAAATGGGGGATTAAATTGTGGATACAATTTTCAAGAGAGACTTTAGGCACACAGAAACCCAAGTCCCCTGCACTTTGTGAGACTTTGACTTAGGTACTTCACAGCCTCTTTTGAAAATGGGACTTAGGAGCCTAAGTCACTTAGGCACTTTTGAACATTTTACTCAGTAACTAAACGTTATTGATTGCACTGAATTAGAAGACAGTGCTCTAAACTGATCAATCACTAATTCCATATATACCAGTAAAAATTCATTAAAAACTTTACAGGAACTTAAATAAGCAGAAAATAAATATACAACATTTCTACAAGTTACAGCATTATGGAACAGTAGAGTGCATTAATTACACAGAAAAAAGAATCTACAGTATTTACCAAGTTCAATTCTAAAAAAGACTTAGAAAAACAGTAATTTACTTTATATGCTGTACAAAACTTTACATGACATAGTAAGAAAAGAAACAAAACATTGCACACAGACATTTGGCTCAGATTATAAGAATAATATGATGCCCTAAATCTAATAAATACTCAAATATTTACAATTATTGAAGGAGGAAAAAGCATAATACCGTATCATACAAGTTTTGTAGGAAAAATTTGAATCTGGTTTCTCCACAACCAAAGAAAATTCTTCATAAAGTAGTTTTGGGAGGGTAGAGTATGGATTATATGGAATTAAAAGAAATTTCTCCACTAACAATGTAGCAAAAGTATTATAACCGTTTTTAATGTTACGTTGAGATTTAAGAAACAAACTCAATAACCACCCACAAATCTAACCTGGGCAGAGAGGTTGCCAAGGCACAAAACCAGTTTTAAATTGTCAAAAACAATGGGATTAGTTTGTTATTTTTTTAAAATACATACTGTAAAAACATCTGCAGGAAACTTCCTGATAAACAAGAGTGCAGAGAAGTCCAAGTCACATGGTGCCAGTATCTTGTTCTTTAATGTTCATATAATTCACAGAATTGTTTTTTAAAATCATTTATTACGCTTATAGTAAGCTAGTCTGAAGCCATGGTGTGGTGGCAAACCTGTTGCACTACCATGCCAGAGGTAAATGTACAAAGAAAGCACCCAAGTCTCCAGGCACTGGGCCAGCAGAGCCTTATTAAGAGGTGGGATGGAGAGGGAGAAGATATGTTGTACTGATGCCAACTCTCCCAAGGGCACTATATTTAAAAGAACTGAAATAAAGTGCTCCACTTGTAGAAGCGTGTGTGTGCGTGCACGCCTGCGCCAATTGTAGAAGTGTGTGTGTGTGTGGGGGGGGGTGCTGTAAACAGAAGTGTCTTTGGTGTGTTCGGAAAGGTGCATAGCGCAATTCCAAATGTCAGAACTAGCTCTACTCTCTCATGACAACTAGTGGACAATGTGGCCTGAGGAGGGGGTTTCAAAACTCATACCCGAAACCACCTGATTAACTGTAACGTCGTTCCAAGACGTGGCTAGGGTCCAATTCTGTTCAAAAGATGACTGCAACGTCTAGTGTTGGAAAATCTGATTTTTGTCTAAGCTATTTAATGGCTGTGTGACTCTGACATGTGAGGAATGTTCAAAATGTAACAAAAGTCATTGTCTCATAGGCCCCTCCAGTCTTATGCTCACTTCTAGCATCCGGTAGCAGTGAGAACTCTTTACTGACCATACATTGATACCCGCTCAATTGACTACATGTAGGATGTTCTGAATTCCCCTTTACGCCTACTGCTTTGGTATGATCCAAAACCATGCTGTTATGGAAGTGATTATCTGCCATCAGCACTACTGAATTACTGCTTGAAACTCCAGATACAATGTAAGTCACCAATATTGCTCTACAAAAAAACCACCCACTGCTTTGATAATTGAGGCCAACTCCTAGGACAAAGGTTTAGCCTACAGAGCCAACATGTCCTCCAGATTCACTGCTCGCGGGGGTGGATTAATGCAACTGGGGAACAGAGCCATGTTTAGAGGAACCCTTCCACCTGCCCCAGAGGCACCAGGGGTCAGTGCAGAGAATACGTTATACAAATTTACTTGTCAAAACTAACAAAAAAATACAATGGCACTCAGTATACGCTGATCAACACATTGCAATGTTTTGGAAGAAAAGCTATCATATTTTTCTATGGTGCTGGTGAAACCAGAAATAAAATGCGGCATTTTGAAGTAGACTGTAGTAAACAGAAACAAATTGAATCATGCAAGCTCTCTGCGTCACATACAAAAGGAAGCCAGATTCTGAAGACAATTCTGAAGCCAGCTTTGGGTAAATTCTGCATTAATACATTGCACCAGCTGAAGGACCTGTGCGCTCCCCAACGCACCTGTCATGCAGTTTCCCATGGTGTGAAGGTGAACTATAAAACCAATATTAAAATTCAGGTTAAACCTAGATCGATGGTTACAGTGCCCACGGAGCAGGCTCAGGGAGGCAGTCAATATACACACTTAAAAATTAAAAATAAAGTTTTTCTTTCTGTGAAGTCCTCTTGGCACTTCTTGGGTCACTGAAGTTGTTACAGAAGGCATTCTGTTATGTTCTAAATACCAGAAGTTTACAAGTCATGCAATCCATGGTATTTGTGGTTTCACAGAATGCTGCCTTCTGGAATAACTTCAGTGAACTAAGAAGTGGTAAAGGGAGCTCTGTAGAAGGAAGATCTAATTAAAGAAAAGGTAACCTCCTGAAACCTAGTTAGTGAGTCACTCCAGTATAGGAACCTTGATTTAACTTAGTTCTGGTTTTGGTTAATCTTTAAACAAGTCACAATGTCTGATGTAGGAATACAATTTTAAGGGCACTCACTGTATTATTTTAAAAGATTATATGGAAGTTTTGCTGGAACTTTCAAAATGGCCTAATTTTTGCTTCCCATGGATATTTAATTTATTCACTTGTGGGATTTTTTTTGAACCGCCACAATCAATTCAAATATTGTACTCTTGCCCTCAAGACGGATGTAACTCAGTCAGCAGTCCACGTGTTCAACTGTGCATCTCAGAATAAATCTTAAGTCCAAAACCAGCTCTAGCAAAAATCCAACACATTAAAAAACCAGCAATACCAATTGGGTTTATCAACAGTCACAGTAAAATATTAAGTGAAGTTTAAAATAGTTTCTGAAGTTATGCAACCCTCCAACTTTAGGCAAAATTGCAGTGTTTCAGGAACTCTTTTACCCCACAAATATTTTATTGTTCTATTATCCCCAACCTTCAACATTCTATGTTATATAATACACAAATGTATCCAGACTCATTAGATATAAAGAACTTCTAGAAAGGCAACTTGGTATGGTTTTTGAAGCATAATACTTTCACAGTTAAGCTACAAATTTCAGGTCAACTTTGAGATTCCTGCTGGTAGGGTGGAAGAGGTGGAAGTTTCAGGGGGAGCGCGCCAGTTGCACTTAGCTGCAGTTTAAAATCAGTCAGCAGGAAGTATGCTGTTTGTGTGACACACATACAGTTGAATTTAGGGTGGTAGTAGAGATTTGCAAGGTAACTGAAGTTCTGATGCAAATCCTTCTACCATTCTTCAACTAGCTTCAATTCATGAGTTTGCCCCTTTTTGCATGAAAGGGTCTAGGAATGGAGGGAAAGCATGAATCTGACCCCTCCTTGCTGGGGGTGGGGGGAGAATAACATCTGTACACAGTTATTTTATAATAAACTAAGGCAGCTCCGCAAGTTAGCTGGCTCAGTTAACTCCATTGCAGAATATATCAGAGATTAGTCTACAGGTTTCCAGAAAATGGAGTATGAAAATCAATCATGTTTGATCATTTTCTTTCCAAATCAGTCTTTTAAAAGTTCAAGAAAAACCAGCGTAAACACCACTCTCACATAAAGTCCTGCTTCACAAAGCTTTTATATATCCGTTTCCAAAATCCATCGTGACGTGTTCACAGTGAATTCCCATTTAAAAACCCTCTGTCTTCTGATAGCAGACAAAATGAGACAGTCTATGTGCATATTTTTCACAAACACGGAGTCCTACTGCTCCTCCCAATGTCTCGGATGTCCTTTAGGAAGAGGAGGATTTGTTAATTGCATATACAAGGTATGGAAAGGATACTCTTGCTGTTTGTTTTTCTGGATTCTGGCGATAACTGGACAATCTCAGAATGTCTGTACGTATCCATTACTGCAGTCTCCAAATGAGGCGGATGATATAACGTAACAGGCGCAAAATAATTTGGTGGTTTACTGCTGGATTATCCAAGAAACCCTGCAACAGAAAAGACATTTATTTTTTCATTCCTGAAGTCTCCTTTCCAGAAGTACCTATGACCGGCTTACACACTAACCGATTGTGATAGATTTCCCAAACGGTGTTCCGCGGAACACTGGTGTGCCGCATGATGTGAACAGGTGGTCCGTGAAAGAATCGTAATTAAGAAAAGGGTCTTTACATTTTTTTTAATTTTAAATTTGGCATATTTGAAGCGTGGTTTACAACTCTTTTTGAATGACTATAATTTAACATAAAACTCTTATTCCGGTTATTGATAGATCTCGTATTGAATACCATGGCGCGGGATTTCCATATTATATTGCAACAAAACCCAAACATAGGAATAGACTTGATGCTGTGCCTGACATGAGGATTCAACTTTCCAGCATTATTCCTAATATTAAGCGAATTTGTGATACAAAAATGCAGACACACCAATCCCATTACATCCAAATGTGTATTTCTGTTTAGATTTTTACTAGGAAAATCTATTTTTATAATCTGTTAGATGTTTGTGTATATATAAACAGTTGTTTTTTTTTAAGTAGAACACTGTTTTTAATTTTGACTCTTGCACTTGATTTTTGTACTACTTTATAGGCGCTTTCCAGTTAGAAATTGTTAATTCGAGTTATTTAAAATTTGTATTTTTGCTTTGTTTTATAAAATAAACTATATTTGAGCATAAATAATGCAATTTTTTATTTGAAAACCAAACGACTACAAAATAATATATTGTAAGTGTTCCGTAACAGGCTAAAAAGTGTTCCGTGGCCAAAAACGTTTGGGAAACGCTGTGAAAGAACATTTTGAAATTAACAGAATGATGCTGGATAATACCAACAGCACAGAGAATAGAATTTTTTTTTTTTTTAAAGGGGGGCAAGCTAGGTCATTGTTTCCTTTGGTAATTCAATAAATTCTTCTCAAACCATTGTAGGGATTTCAAAAGCGAGTTAGTCATGGTTTAATGGAGAACTCAAAGAGGATATTGAGGAGTTAACAAGATAATTGGGTATTTTTGTTTTAAAACTGTGGTCAGATATAACTTCCATTTTGCTAAGTGGGATACAGTGGAACGTTAACTTTGCACCTGCAGTACCGAATACCAGATGAAAGGGGGGACTCCTCCTCACTATTTCAGAAACACAGTAAGAATGCATACATTCATTTAGAACAGTGGTCCCCAAACTGGGGGGCACAGAGGAACATTTGGGAGGGTGGGATGCAGCAGGGCCTGGGGCAGCCCCCGAAGGGAGAGCCACACAGCCCTGCTCCAACCGTGGCTTGTGGCCCCCAACCTCGCTCACGGCCCTGACAGATTTCATTAAGGGTAAGGGGAACGCAACATAAAAAGTTTGTGGACCACTGATTTTAGAACCATAGCAACGATCATTATATTTAAACTTGGTACATGTTTAATACACTGAGTTGATTCTAAGATTGGCTATATATAAAACAATAGCATGTAATTTATGCAATTTGGTACAGATGAAAACAAAACAATTGGGAAAAACCAACAAGGTATTCTCAGAGTATAATTGTGCCAAATTGTTGACTCTGAAAAATGTTTCAGATTCCCAACGGGTAAAATCTGGTAGCTGTAATTTATTTAAGAAAACCAGTGATTTGGTGTAATTCATGCTAAGAAGCTAAATAAAGCTAAGGGCAATCTGTGCCAGAACTAATGAACCTCCAATTGTTCTCAAATGACTCCACCTGTGTAAACACTGTTTGGTCTATATAACATGTGTAGAGACATCTGAAAACAACTTTACTCTTTTCAGCTGAAAGGGGAAAATATAAAATATGGGGGCAGGGGGGAGATGATAAAAAACTGCATGTTTGTTATATAGTAGAACCTGAGAGTTACAAACAGGAATGGAGGTTGTTTGTAACTCTGAAATGTTAGTAATTCTGAACAAAACATTATGGTTGTTCTTTCAAAAGTTTGCATTGACTTAATACAGCTTTGAAACTTAACTATGCAGAAGAAAAATGTTGCTTTTCACCATCTTAATTTAAACGAAACAAGCACAGAAACAGTTTTCTCGTCAAATCTTTAAAAAAAAAACAAAGAACACTTTCCCTTTATGTTTTAGTAGTTTACGTTTAACACAGTACTGTGCTGATTTTTTTGTGTCTCTGCTGCTGAGCCTGATTGCGTACTTCTGGTTCCAAATGAGATGCGTGGTTGACGGGCCAGTTTGTAATTCTGAGGTTCTACTGTGTTATGTTTTGACTACATCGAACTATTGGCAAGTTTTACATGTGGCAAATCAGGAAAGTAAGCAGCTGATGGGACAGGAATGAAAAAGCTGGCATGGAACACGAATACAAACACACACACAGCCCGATTTGTTTTTCCCTTCTATTACATATGACCACAATTTGGAAGACATTGTTCCAGGGTGACTAAACATATATAAAAATAAAACACAAACCAACTCTCTCAATAAAATCAGATTAATTGCTTCATTGTTAGGAACTGAAAACTCTGCTAGTGATTTCCTTAATAATAATATCTGCACATGAAGCCAAAAATGCTGTGAAATGACACAGGCACTGCCTTTTAAAATGAACACTTCCCCCTCTCTCTGCCTGACAGGCAGGGTAAGTAATTGTTTGGCTGGAAGCCGCCGGCCAGTTACAATCAGCACTGGTTTGAGACAGGTTAATGGTAATTATTCACACAAGGCAGTCAGCATCTCCCCAGACAGAGAAGAAACTCCACAGCAGCTGGAGCAGTTTTCTCCAAGCTGCTCCCCTGGCTCTTGAGAAGTTGCTTGACATAATGGAATTGCGATAAGGCCAGGGCATTTCCTCTCTGTATCACCGTAACAAGATGGGAGGAAATCAGTTTTCTGTATGCAATGTCTGCAGAGACACTTAACCACAGCATGCATTTTTTATCTTTTACACACACAGAATTGATTTTGCTGCAGTTTCAATATTGACTTGTCATAAGTTTACTGAAATAAACTTAAGGTTTTATTTTCAATTGGGGCAATAAATACAAGTGAGTTTTTTTAACATCTGCTCAAAAGAGTAAGTTTCCTAGAGTACAGCCTAGTGAATTGACCCCTATGGAACAGGAAGTTAAATATCTGGACCATTAACTAGAACTGGCAAATGCCAAACAGGGCTTGTGTTTGTCCGTTATTAACAGAGAATATGTTTGAAGTTTATCTGTAAAGGAAAAACTTAGATCTGTGTTCTTCCTCCTCCTTATGATTTATAAAGAAGGCTGTTGGTGAAACCTGCTTAATTCAGAGAGGAAATTAGTTTTGTTCAAACTGTCCAGTTTTGTTCTTTATTTGAGTGAAACAGATATCAAAACTTAATCAAAAGTTGAATCTAACTTTCTAGCTCCCCCCACCTCCCAATACCATGTCTCTTAAAGTAAGGGCTGAAGAAGCTTTCAATCTACATTTCTGCATCCTCAAGACATGAGCAAGACAAAAACCCAATTTTTGTAGTATTTCAAAGGCAAAACAAAACATTTTTTTAAAATAAGTCTAATGTGTAAAGATGTCATGAAATAAAATTTTAAAAAGGCACAAACCTATTTTATTTCCTTCTCTTCAGGCCACCCGTAAGGACAAGATTACATAAAGCCACAAGGATCATTTGTACTGCAACAATGGCGTCTCAGCTATGGGAGAAACCTTAGGCCTCTCCGTACACAGGCCGAGGTGATGCATTCAGGTTCATTTGGCAGAAAACTTTTAGATGTAGGGATCACCCAACACTCCCTGCCAGAGGAATTAATGGTTTTAAAAGCCAGAATGTGGGAAGACTTAAAAAGGAAAATAAAAGCATCAGGAAATGAGGAAGCAGGCACACAGGAGGAAATAGGACCGGGGTGTCTGACAGACAACTTGCTCTTTACTAGAGGTTTTTGTCACCAGGGATAACTGTACCGTTGGCCTCTTCTGCCAACCCCAATGTTAGAAAATAAGTTCCAACACCAACAGCAGAAACAAGAGAGACACCCTGGAATACAAGTAAATTGTAGTGGACTGCAGAATAATTAAAGTGTATCAAGTAATAAGGCTGAGTAAGATGAAAATATTGTGAATAAAGAAAGTTATAATTCAGTCAAAGGAAATGTGTGTAAGCAAAGAAGAAACACCTGCTAGCTATGACCACATCCCACAGAGAGGAGAAACAGGTGACCCTCTTCTCTTTAACCAGTTTACTTTGGACAGATGTCAACTACAGAAGCCACTACCAGCAAACCAGTGATCTGTTTTAGGAGAGAACTCGCTCCAATGGCTCTCTCAGTTGGCTAATATTGCTATAGGGTAAGGTTTCTAATATTAAACCCAAATAGGAATGGCCAAAATGCAGACATTTTACCAAAAACCTTTCTCAGGGTGCGGGAGATCACCTAATGCAGTTTTAACTTGAAATGACATTGGGGGAGGGAGTTCCACAGACTTATGCATCCGAAGAAGTGGGCTGTAGTCCACGAAAGCTTATGCTCTAATAAATTTGTTAGTCTCTAAGGTGCCACAAGTACTCCTGTTCTTTTTGCGGATACAGACTAACACGGCTGCTACTCTGAAAACAGACTTAAAAGTTAGTTGGATGCAAAGGAAGGGGTGGTGGTGGTGTTTCTACATCTTAATCCCAAAGAAGGTGGCAGGGGCTGGAGAAGGAAGGGAACCATAGGGGATTGGCATGTTCAAGAGAATAAGAATGATGGAGAAGAGACTGGTAACAGAGGGACTGTGATGGATGGGGTGAGGCGGTCAGAGGCAGTAACCCAGCAGTGAAAGGGTTTAATCCCACTTACATGCGTATACACTATCAGCATAACTAACCAGAAGAATATTAATCCTTAGAAAATGCAGTTTTCCAAGGATTCACTTCCCCACCTTAATCTAACTGACATGAAAGAATTACCCAGGCAAGAGTCTGAAATTTCATTCCACTTATGCCAAAATACCCAAATGAAAACAATCCACAGGAGTTCAATCCAGGGAAGCGGGTGTGTAGGAAACAAACACAGCCCTTGACAGCCAGCTGCTCCTTCAAAACCCTGTTGTGAATGCCCGTTGTTACACTTAGCTATGCAGTCTGTGCAGTTTCCATCCCACATCCACCATTGGTAACTGTATTCACAGAGACTGCTAAGCTCTGGCACTCTCTCAGATGGGCTGCTAAGCTCTGGCACTCTCTCAGATGGGCTACAAGCAATGTGACACCTTACAGACCACATGAGCAGCAATACCTAGGCACAGAAACAATGGCTGCTCTAAGAGGATTCCTAACGAGGGAAGTGACCTGTCATTTTTTTAAAGTTATTATGCCAATGCCTTTCATTCCTTGTTCTTTTCTTTAACATGCAGTCATTTGCAGCTGGTCAAATCACAATATATTGCTCTCCTAGGCTAAGTAAAGTAACATGCTGGCAAACAGGACATCACGCTGAAGCTGACATCATTGCAGGATTCCCAACCTCTGTTCATGAGCTCATTCAACAGAATGTTTAGGGTGGCAGATAGCCAACTACTGGGGGGAGGGGCTGGGGGAGAAAAGTTAAGGATATAGAAAGAAAAACATCAGGAAAATGGAGTGTCAGAAATTTAAGCACAGGCCTGTAGCCAAGAGGAGGCATTGGGAAGGGTTTCCTTCCTACTGGGTCGAGTCATATTAACAGCAATGATCAGGTCATACTGAAGTGACCCTGCTGGCTCATCACTGGATACTTCCTCCCATCCCAGATGAGATGGTGGAAATGGAACTAACCAGCAGAGGCCACTGTGTTATCCAGTCCAACATCAGCTAGTGCAGAGCTCCAAAATCCCTAGAGACCAGGAAAAAGGAGGTACAATCCTGATCTCAGAAGCAATCAGACTTGGGTGGGAAGCCCCAACTTGTGCAAGAGCAGGAACAGCAGGCTGGAAGCAGTGGCCAGGCCAGACAGCCTGAGAGCTGGGAAT